AAATGGCTTCACTTTTGCTGTTACTGTTATTTAAAGATGTAAATAATGTAACTTAGCAATCAAATTAACTAGTCTCAAAGCACTGTTTACCTGAATGGGCTCTAAAGGAAGCTAATTGTTTCTACCAAAAGAGGGAGGCTTTAGTAAGGGAGCTAGCAGAATCAGGTATGCCAATTTTTTTTCATAATTTATGAGTCAGAGAGTTCTAGTTCATCCTGACCAAAAAGGCCGGATACCATATTTACCTCCTGACTGAGGATCTAGCAGATATTAAGCTGATACTGTACTTGATCTGAGCCAAAAGAATGAAGCATGCTCTTCTTTCATATTATAAAATATGTATAAACTCATTTATTTTGAACTGAGAACAGTTAGGAACTTATTTTATGAACTAATATGATTAAATTGCATGGGAACTTCATGTCTCTTGAAGGTTTCATTTAGTTTTCACCTCAGTACATCCAAAGCATGTACACATACCATTATGACTCTGCACTCCAGGCTCTCCCAGGTGTTATTTCTTATATGTCAGCACTGTCATGACCTATGTTAATTTTAAAGTGTGCAGAGCTTGCTAAAACTTCCTTTTCAAAAATACTTTATGACTTGTCTATTGGACTGAGCACAGGGCAGAAATCCGGAAAAAGAGTCCTGATTTTTTTTCACCAACAAGCTCAGGCAAGTCACTTTGAGCTAAGTCACTTCCTTTGACTGCCCCAAATAATACAAATTGTATAGTATGCTTCTCTCAGCAGAGGTATAGATGCTGAAGTGTGATGCAGGGCTTATCTAAATCAACTCCATGCTAAAAACACTGCTTGGAAGCATACTTCATACTCATTCCTGCTCTGTCTCTGAAATGAGACAGTACAGCTACCTTATAGTGGCCCTGAATATACCACAGACAGACCAAACACTTTTGGACTCACTTCTCTAGTCACTAAGTATAGAAATAATCCCTGAAGAGTCTAAGAACAAGATGATGACATGCTTATCTCTTTGCCATGATTTAATAGTAATGGGCAGGACATACTTCTTAACAGTGCTTCCAGGATCATCATTGAAGTGGTGTAGATATCTGTCTTGTTCAGTCCCTACTCAATCCATCCCAGCCATACAGTTGACACATTTATTTCCCTCTCTGCATTGTATCAATAGACTAGCTTGTGCTTTTCAAGGGGCAGAACTAAGGACACAGACAGAAGTGACAATTTGAAAGTAGTCTACAGAAGCCATGACCAAACAGAAGTGCATGGCTGCAGACCACTTTAAAAGAGCCCAATCCCATGAAAATCTGAACCCTCATTGCATGAGGGTTCAGACGAACATGCTCCAAAACAGATCACCTTCCATAACTTGTGTCTGCAGTGCTCCCAGCCCCAGAGCTGCTTTCAGAATGAGTGTGGGGAAGGGAACAGAGGGAGTTTGGTGTGGGGTTTTTTCAGCTAGTGCTGGAGGGTGGGGTGGGTGGATTAGAGATAGCCCGCCTCAGGGTGGGGCACTCCAATCCACCCATCCCACCCTTTAGCATCAGCTGGAGACCCCAAGAATGAGCTCCCTTTGCTCCCTTTCCCCCTCTCTCATTCTGAAAACAGAATCTGGGCTGGGAGGGGGGAATGGTATTGGTATAGAGACTGAGGCTGCAGGCTTGAAGCAAGCAGCTGGAATCCCCAACTCCCAGACACAACACCAAACTCATGTTGGGTCCAGGGGATGGTTGCAACTCATAGCACTCCCTGCAAAGTGCTATAAATTGTAACAAGGAGCTGCTTTTCTGTGCGCTAATGGTCTGTTCCTTCATCTACCACCTTTATGGGAACACACTGATGGCAGGAGCTCTCTTGCTCCTGTTGCAAACTATGATACCTACCCATAGAGCACACCAGAATCAAGGCAGGCTGGTTCCCAATTCAGCTCCTAATTTTTGAGTGACAATAAAATGATATTTATTAAGCTCACAGGTGCATTGGGAGGATACAGTAGTTAACATTTGTACTGAGGTATGGGACAATATTAAATAATAGATATTCATTTATAATACAATTTTAAAGTTTTGTTTCTAACACAACAATTACATGTGACTCGATTCTTTGGATTTATCTCCTAAGCATTTGTTGAACTAGTAAACTAGAAATTGTCAGTTTTCTAATGGCTTATGTGGACTTCCTACAAAGATATTTATTACTCAGTTTGTCATGGCTTATTTTAATCCAGTTGTATTTGGTTGCCACGATCTTGCCAAGAAATTTTTAGTTAAGATAAGAGCAGGTAGTATATACAGAGGCTGGCGTTACAAATTATAGGCCAGGTTTTCTACTTTTCAGGTCCATTTTTAATGCCAGTTAATTTTCATGGTGTTACAATGATGTAAAACTATAGCAACACCCAGGTAAGCCATCTCCACATGTCTTGTACAATTAACACATAAAAGGTCATTACCTGGAAGTGGACTATCATACAATGATATCTAGATAGTGCCTCAAGGCCCCACAAAAGATGGAGAATCTCTCCTTAGTTAAAAAGCCGAAGGCAACATTTAGGCCAGTGGTTCATAAACTTTTAGAATCAAGCCCCTGAGAAAATGTCAGCTCTTAGTTTTCACTCATTTTTTACTATGGAAAAATAATAGAGTAATTCTTATATTGCATAAGCTTAGAAAGGCCACAACAGGTCAGAATGTTTTTGAAACCATTGATTACTATTTGAAATCTCTTGGTTTAGCTTGTGAATCATGTAGGTGTTTGCACATCTAAGAGTGCTAATATTGTGTGGCACTCTGAGGCAACCTTAAGACACAACACCTCATGGTGCTGCAGCACCCTGGTTGAGAATCACTGCATTAGGTCTTCCTTCCAATGATAATCTATGGGGCTCCAGATTCTCTGGTTACCGCATGATGCTTTCTAAAATTTGCATCTAAAATACCTCATAGGGATGTTTTCTGACAATATGAATGATGTGTGACTTGCAGTCTAATGGTATTCAAGACAAAAGGTAGGTATTCATCAAGAAATAAGAAGATTCATCCTCTTGTGGCCAGCAAGACCCTGTTTTACTTCTTCCCAGTCTATAATATGCTAGGGTATCCCGAAAAAGGAGACATGTCAATTGTTTTTAGTTTAAAAAAAAAAATTTTGCTGCAGTTCAGATTTGAAATTTCAGGCTCCATCACCTGCAGCAACAGAAAGATAATCCACCCTGAAACTACAGACCCAAATTAAAAATTCAGTATTCTACCATGGATTAAACTTTGAATCCAACTACTGAGTTAGATGTAAAAGTTAGCAACATAACCTTATTCCCCACCCCACCCCACAAGCACACACGTAAAAAATGGCTTCCACAGCCTCACTGACTTATTGGTTGAAGGTCAAACTTCTGTAGAACTGAAACCTATTACCTGAAGACTCTACTGTCACACACATTCTTGTAGCTCATCAACACCTGTACATGTGATATATTTTATGCTTCCCTATCAGCAACCAAAGGTAAAGAACTTCTCCTTTTAAATTAACACATACCAGAAACAGCAGCAAAGGATTACCATAAGTATATTTAATAAGCTTTGCACATTTGATATTAATTCTGAACTAGTTTGCATTAGGGATAGATCTACAACTGAAACGGTCATCAAACAATATAGACATATTCTGCTCTCATCCCTATGCTTACAACTTTCATTAAACATCTGCACATATCTAAGGTCAAATAGAATCTGCAGGTAGCAACTACAAAAAAAAAGCAGAATTTCCACCAAATCTGAGCAAACTGGTCTCAGCGTTTGTGTTAGAGCTGTCAGGCTGTACCACCTGTTTTACTGGTATTTGCTGCCAGGAACAAATTACATAACCATCAACAACTGATCATACCGAAAAAAAAAAAATCGCATCCATTGGACAGCCTTATTTTGATGATCCTTAAATAATGAAACATCCCACAAAAGAAGGGCAAGTCTTGACATTCTGCTAGTTTGCAGCCATTAGAAAACAGATTCATTGTCTAATAGTGCTTAATGTGAATCCTCTTACAACTAAATTAGAATTGAAAAATGAAAGATAAGCATGCAACTTTAATACAGTGAAATACCATAGAAAGAAAGAAGGAAGGAAGGAAAGAAAGAAAGATCAGAAGGGTTTTTAAAAGCCTATTTTTTTAATGTCATTATTAAACTTGGATGAACAGTGGAGTGATCCACAACACAAAAAGATTGGCATGAAATTCCACTAAACATTGGGGAAAAAAATGTGGCATTCTAAACAGCTTTCTGTCACACAGTGGTTGATAAAATATTGTTGTGTCTCTAAGATGTTATTTAAATATGAATGGTCAGGAAATATGAATTTTTCATGGACTTAAATATTTTAGGATAAAAGTTTCTTGGTTTATATGATTACTTCTCATTCTTTTCAGCCTACCGCTAAAGTACTTATTCAAGCACAACTCACTGGCTTCTTTGGGAGTTTTACCTGAAAAAGTATTTTGGGATCAGTACTGTTTTCTCTTAATCAACATTAAAACCTAGCAGACTTGTTCTCAACTGTGCAACTGATTCTGTGCAAACAGATCTCTTTGCTTCTACTGCACTGCTTGCAGGGCCGCAGAGCTGAGCTCTAGCATTCTGAACACAAGTGCATCTCCCATCAGCAAAACTTGCATTAAACTCAGTTTTTGTCTACCTAAAGATTTCAGGATTGAACCATTTATATTTTGTCCAATCTCTTCATTTTAATATCTAGAAGCTCCCCTTCTCTATCACTTTTAGTGTCACTGTCTAAGCGATGGTTGCTCAGGTTGCTATTTTTAGAGGCATGTAGTGATTTAGCTTCACTAACTAGTAGAGCCTCTGGCTACTGGGAGAAACATTTCTCATACAAAACACACATCCTACAGGAAAACTGCTGTTCCCTAAAAGCAATAAATCATACTGACACGCTGACTCAATTAAAGTGTCAAAGTACAAGTCTTTTTCTGTTAATTGTATTTGAAAATGGTTACCGTACCTTCTGTTGTAATCTCAGCCATAACAGCGATGGTAAGAGATACTCTGCAAAAAGGTCAAGTTATACTGGCAGCTTAGCTTATACTTCTCTAAGAGGAGATGAAGAATTAAAGGATGGGAGGTCCTCTGCTTCTCTTATTCTGTTTCTTCTTATTTCATGCTTCTTTGAACTTTGTTTTCTCTGCAGAGTCCTGCCCCTACCAGAACAACCTAAACCTTTCCCAAGGCAATGCTTGCAGCTCAAACTAAAGTATCAGCTTCTAAAAAAATAGCCATGCCTCATAGCTAATCTTCAGCACGTTTTTTCTGATATCCTAAGAAACACAAACACTATCAATAAAAATAATATCCAGCTCCAAATGGGACAGCAAAGCATAAAAAGGCAGCCAAAAGCAAAGGAACTGGAAAGAACTGTTTAAAGCTCCTGCAGCTTCCCTAATATAATTACAGTTCTTTTGGGGGGTAGTCAGGAAATATGAAATATAGAGTCCAAAGTAACCTTATCCATCCTAGCTCAAACTTATTCTTAGCACACTCAATGCTTAGCACATTCTTCCTGGCCTTATTTGGATTAGGGAGGGCCCTGTGAAGTCTGGTAGTCACTAATAGTGAGGGTAAATTTAGGTGATTTTCTCCACTTTGACTCTCAATCCCAGTTCCTGAGAAACAGCTCAGATCACATCACCCATGAATATCTGTACTTTCCCTTCTCTTTGGCAAGGAGATTTCACACACGCGAGGATATCATAAATGTAGTTTATGAAAGTTAGTAAATAAAATTATTGGCTGTATCCAGTATCCTTTAACATGTTAAACACACTGTCCACAGTTATTAAGCAGATCATATTTTTTCCAGCCTAATTCAAAGACAAAAACATTTGTAAATTTAAATAAACATTTATTTAAAATTCAGTGCCATTAGATTTTAATAAAAATATGAACATGAAAAATCTAGCAAATCACTATTCCCTACAGTGTCTGTATCCTCAAACTGCAGGGTTATTTGTTCTTGTACCTGGACACTTAAAGTGAAATTAACTACAATCTATCCTTGAACCAGCATTCCTTCACATGGGAGTCACTTGAAATCAGAAACTGACTCTAGCAGGACTGTAACTGGGGAACCTATAGTCAGCTAATCACTACAAAGGCTGGCATTTGCACTTCTGAGCTCTACTACATGACTAGTATGCACCTAGCTGTGTGCTAGGGTGTAACAAAATAAATCTGTTTATATGGTGGGCAACACATGGAAGGGGAGTCTCGTTGAACCAGCTGTCCACAAGCTTTATCTTTATCCTGGAGTGTGGGTTGTGGTTGTTTGATCATCCTTCTTGTAGGTGTTAGTGTGGGATAACCTGAAAAAAGTTACTTTGTGCCCAAAAGCTTGTCCAACAACTCTCCCAACCCTACAGTTGATCTAATAAAAGATAACACAGAACAAAACACAAAAAATAAAACCCCTTTCCTCAAAGTCTCTAATAACCTCACCAAAGAAAAAGCTCCATTATTGTCCTCCCCAACCTGTTAGATACTATTAGCAGTATCAATCCATATTTTTCTTTTTATAATATTTTTCCTTTCTTGGTTTTCCTGACAGGCGAAGAGAGCAAATTACTCCTTTCATAGAGCGACAAAAGCAAGTTCTTAAAGTGAAGTTTAAGCAAGGCTAGAAACAACACAAAGTAACAATGCAAGATCTAGTAAAATTCTAAGTTTAGCAGGAAGCTCTACAAATTTTTTTTATTATTTATTTATAATGGTCAGTATTTCAAGAGTGAGATTCAACCTTATCTTAGGGGGAAAGCATAAGGGCATAACTCTTAAGCTCGTAGAGTAAAGGCTGGTCCTCTGAAGAGCGATGAATCTTTTACAATATTGGCACTTCATAACTTCAAGAAAAATATGTCTATTGGATTTTTTCATTTTTAAACAAGGTAAAAATTATAACTTCCCTATGGGTCTTCCATATGTTATCTCTATCTTTCTGACTTCACACTTTTGCCCTGTTTCCCCTCTCTCCAAGGAAGGGAAGCATGAGTAAAAACTCTCCTAATTTTTTTTCAGGCCACTTGGTGGCCTATTCATACATGGATAAATCATGGGGCAATCATGAATCTTGAATAAGCATCTGTCCAGTTCTAAGATTAAACTGTATTACAGAGCTACATTCTAGTCTCTGTATCCATGGCAGTCTAAATTTTGGTCAGCTTGTGTGAATTGGAAAGGTAACAAAGTCAAAGCTTTGCCTACTCTCTATCCATTTGTGTGGACAAAGAGGTATCAGTCTGACAAAGGAACATAAAGTGAAATTCAAATAAAGGAGGCCAGTGGCACTTTACAGCCCTTTAACCCCCTTCATGACCATATACTACAAACCATAATATAGCCCAAAACAGGAGTCCTGAACAGTGATAACTTAGCAAGCTGGTACTTTTATTTATTTACATATAAACAAAGGGGAAAAAAACAGGGGTTTGGGTTTTTTTAAACTATTTGACAAGCTCGACTACTAACTCCTTCTTTTAGGGTGCAGACAGACATTAATGCCCCACTCTAACTCATGCACTTAAGTAACGCACCATGACTTACAGCACCTCCCTCCTGAACCCAACAGACATTTGCCTGTTGGGTCAGGAGGGAGGGAGCTGGTGCCAGCCTACACTCACCTAGGCCAGCAGGTAGGGGTGCTCTAGCAGCCTCCCAGGAGGCTGCCAAACTGTCCCTCTTCCCAGCCCTGCCCCCCCTCCAGCTCCAAGGCTGTCATGGGGGGGGGGGTGGAGAAGGAGAAGGAGAAGGGGAAGGGAAAGGGGAGGTGGAAGGGCAGGGAGCTCCCAGTTGATGAATGGCCAGATACGAAGTGGGGGGCAGAGAACAGGGTCCCTCTCTCCTTGTAGACCACCCCCCACCACCAGCTAACCTAGCTGGGGTATTGAGGGAAGTCAGGTCAGGACCCTGAGGCAAGAGGGCTAAGTTCCACTCTACCCACCCACTCAACTCTGGCCATTTAGCGGGCTAGAACTCCATGTTGACTGCTCCTGGCTGCTGAATGGTCAGAATTGGGGGGAGGGAGAAATGGAGCCCCCTAACCTTGCAGGTCCAACTCAGCTGCCCCCAGCACCCCAGCCAGGGTATCTGGGGGGGACCACGAGGTGAGGGGGCCCCGTTCCCCACCCCTTCTCCCCCCAGATCTGGCCATTCAGCCAGCAGCCAGGAGTTCCCTCTCCTTAGCCCTAACAGCCTGAAGGAGGAAAAATTAACAGCCTCCCCCTATATGAAAAATTAACCCTGGAGGGAATACAAGTTCCCCAAGGCACTCTGCTTTCGTGTGCCTTAATGTAATACCTGATTTAACTAGGGTTAATTCTTCATGTATATGGCCATTTTAAAATCAGTCTGCAACTGTGGATGTGTGTTATGGCATGGCTGTAGAGTGATTTCAGGGGCCAGATCACTCAAAAAATATTACTTCTGTCTGTTCCCTTAGATGACAAGGTGTGTTTCTCGTGTAATCGAAGTATTAGTACACAAATCTTTATTCATGGATTACCAGATTGTCAAGATAATGGTGAAAACAGAAGGACTAGAGAAAGAAAACAACTCAAGTTAAATTAGTAGGTAGTGGTACTGGAGACTCAGACTAATGAAAGGAAACATTTAGGAAGCCAATCAAAACCAAGTTTTTGTTAACAAGAAAACACAGAATAATAGTTTTAAACATTCTCCTAAAGCTATATAGGTGAATACTTACAGCACAGCCCTGAAGATGGATCCAAGAATAAGAAAAGGGTTTTGTATTGCAGTAAATGCACAGAAACACAGTGGAGGTCAAGAAAATAAACCTTACTATCATCTTAAGCTCTGGAGCATTACACTATGAGAAAACTTATTAAACAGCAAACTAATTTTATGGACCTTCAGATGTACCATTATTTGGCTGAAGGATGCCATGGCTGGAGGACGTCACAATGCCAGAGCCACTGGCAGTACCTCTGCTAGCATCTGTGAGGTTTCTGTCAGGCAGGACTGCTCACTATCAGGACTTCCACCCAAGTCCAGATTTGGTGCTGTGTGGACTGTGGCTTGCAGGTCCCTTCCAGTTATGGCCATGTAGGGGAATGCCTGTGGTGTGAGGAGTGTCTCCTGGTAGTGTCTGTCAGGGAACAGGCAAGAGAGCTACAGGAGGAGGTGGTGAGACTCCAAAGCATCCTCCACCATGAGGAGTTCATTGATTCAGTGCTGGAGGGGACCTCCAGGACTTTGGGGAAAGAACTGCCAGAAACAGTGCTAGAGAAGAGAGAGGACATGGACTCCCAGGAGGGTGGAAGCTAGAAACTTGTGACCTCTGAAAGCAAACAGAAATCTTTATCTCCACCTGCAGCAGTTCGTCTGGAGAATAGATATGGAGCCCTAGCAACAGAGGGCGAGGGGCATGTTCCATTGGTGAAGGAAGAGAGGCCAGGTAGGATTGATATGATGACCACCAAGAAGAAGGAATGTGTGGTAGTGGTTGGAGACTCCCTTCTACAGGGGATGGAGGGATGCATCTGCCAACCTGACCTGTTGTCTTGGGAAGTCTGCTGCTTGCCTAGATCCTAGATCCAAGATGCCACAAAGATATAACAAAGACTCATTTGGCCCTCTGAGTATTACCCCATGCTGCTCATCCTTGGGATACCAATGATATTTTCAGGGGAGACCCTGAGCAGATTAAAAGGTCCTGCAGATCTCTGGGTGCAAGGGTGAAGAGGATAGGGGCTCAGGTGGTGTTTTCTTTGAAACTTCCAGTCAAGGGAAAGGGCCCAGGTAGCAGCAGATGAGTCCTATAGATCAATGCCTTGCTGCATAGGTGGTGTCACCAGTAGGGTTTTGGCTTCTTCAACCATGGGATGTTATTCCAAGAAGAAGCCTTGCTGGGAAGACATGGAATCCACTTGGCAAACAGAGGGAAGAGCATCTTCACAGACAGACTTGCTAACCTAGTAAGGAGGGCTTTAAACTAGGTTTGCTGGGAAATGAGGACAAAAGCCCTGAGGTAAGTGGGGAAGTGGGTGACCTGGAGGAAAAGCAAGTAGGAAGGGGCAACAGGGGAGTTATTCTTATACTTCCTGAGAAATCAGAGCAATTGACTAGTTACCTCAGAGGCCTGTACATGAATGCACAGAGCCTGGGAAACAAGCAGGAAGAATTGGAAGTCCTTGCACAGTCACGGCATTGACATGATTGTAATAACAGAGACTTCGTGGGATAGCTCGCATGACTGGAGCAGTGACCTGGACAGATATAAACTGTTCAGAAAGGACAGGCAGGGGAGAAGAGGAGGAGGAGTTGCACTTTATGTAAGAGAGCCATATGATTGCTCAGAACTTCAGTATGAAACTGAGGTAGGACTGTTGAAAGCATCGGTGAAGTGTAGGGGGTGCACGCAGATGCACGTGCATCCCCTGAGTGTGGCAGTGCACCCCCTATGAAAGGCGCCACTGACACTGTTGGCAGCGACTGTGGGTGGTCGTCACTCGCCACCCC